AGAGCATCAGATAGAACTGACAAAGGCCAGGGAATATCGTTCATTTCCGACTTCGAGAGGGTTCTTTATACATGCGAAACGCGCCTGCATCCCCAATCTCGCACGCACAGAGTGATGAGCGATAAGCCATATTGAGGGCCATGCAGTACCACATTTTGTGCTTTCCTGATGCCTCCCCTCCCCGGCGTGCATTCCTCACTCGCCGACTCGCCAGGGGCGTGGACTGCTGTTACAAAGGAAGGGCAGGAAGGGAGGGGAAGGATGCTCTCTGAGGGAAAAGGGCCAGTCAGTACCTAGAGCTGTCACCGTCGGCTTTCGTGTTTGTTCTCGTTCTTTGCCTTCTTTGTGATTTCAAGGATTCATCGTCAACAAGACTTCCTGCTGTCCCGTGTTTAGCAGCTCGACAAGCACTTAGTGAATCTCTGGTGTACATAGTTCAGGCGTTAGAAGAGTGTCAGTGACCTTAATTCTCGATAAAACTGGAGATTTCCTCCTGGGATTGGATGAGACGTGAGGTAATATACCTTACTATAGTACGGTGTATGCCGTTAGCCCAGCATTCGGAAAAGGGGTATATTTATGATTTTTTTCCGTTTTCTAATTATGTCTAAAATAATGCAGACCAAGTGGGTGTAACTCGTACTAATGACAAGGAATCGGTAGAATGCTTAAACTGGGGGGGGGGACTGAATTTCTGTCTGATGCCGAAAAAGGAATATCCTACAAAACGAGTCAGTAAAAGCATAAACACATTTGGGCTAACCGGTTCTTGTGCATTTGCATTCCTTTGAACTCGGAACGTGTCCCGAAATCTCATCAAGCCTCCTCATGTTTAGAACACTGGAAACAATTCAGCCTGAAAAACCCTGGCTCCATCTGCAACATTTTACGCTTTTTTCATGTTGCTCTGGTGGATTTCTCGTCACCAAAAAAATAGCAAGGTCCTAGAAGGAGACCATTGCGTTATGGGGTTCCAATGTGTTTTCACTGACCAGCTTGAGGAGAAATCGCTATAAGTAATCAATACCGATGCAAGTAAAGTTGGACTCCAGCGTCAGCGGAAAATGGCAATTATATGTTTCTCGTGTCCTTCAAGTAGCATGAAACTGTGCTTAATATCAGCACAGCCTAAGTTTTATAGATTACAGTACGGCCCTATGGTTTTCCACAACAATGCATACATAATTCTTTAACTGATTTATCAAGGAAATAATAATAAAAATTATCAGTAGGTCTATACTTCAAATGCCATTCAACGGCTTGCCCAAGAGTGTTCTTACGCTTAGATATGATTGCAAGGACACTTGGATTTTCCAAGCTCTCAGGCAATTCATTCAAGTGTATCCATAATCACCCTTGCCCCATGCGTGCATGAAACAAATTAAAACACGAATGCACGTTAATTAATTGACTCAGACAACGTTGCACGGATATATAGGCTTCGACCGTGTGAGTTCGTCTACTTGAGTTTCCTTTCCTTGTGCTTCAGATATAGGTGAAACGTTCTTTGAAGATGAAGATTCCAGTTGTGAGACGCTGCTGCTGTGGCTGTTTGAGCAACAGGAGTGGCAGCATCGTCATTGCGATATTGAGTTTGGTATGTCGCTATTTTCAAATTTCTCATAATTTTGTCCTGCCTGATTTTATTTATTTGAGTAAGTAACAGCGATCTATGGTTCTTGGGACGCTCACTAGCGAAACCAAAGAAATGCTGTTCATGATCCTAGTCATATGAAGCCAGAAATTCGTTCGACGCTGACATCACTTTCACGGTGCTCCTTGCAAAAAAAAAAATTATTAAAAGTTTCACCCAGGAATTAGTGGTTCGTGGCGAACACTCAGTAAGTACGTGAGTCATCAGAAAACGTCTCGAGTATTGGTTCATAGGTAATACATTTCTCAAAATCACTACATGAAATTTTACAGAAACGTACTCGAGAGTGATACCTACTCAAGGCAGTCATCAATGGGCTCATTCCCTCAGTCTTGATCGTCGTTCGTCGCAAAAACTAAATCCAATAAAGCTTCCTCGC